ACTCCTTCAGAAAGCGAAGGACAGCCATCCAACAACCATCTCTCTGTTCAGTGATTCTTAGTGAGAAAATCAAAATAATTGTCCACAATGGCCCCCATTCCACATTCGTGCGACCTGAAGGTTTCCGCGCGTGATGCAAAGCCCTGTGAGCGCGAAGAACCTTCCAAAGGGAGGTGGGACGTGGCCTTGCCCATCAGTCGAAGGGGGAGCTTCTTCCAAGACTCCTTTTTCTCGGATGTGCACGACGAGTTCGACGCCACCGTCAGGAGGGTTCTGGGCAGGTGGAGAAACGCCGACTTGAGTTTGAGAGATCGCTGGGACGACAGTTGTCAGTACAGCGATATTTTGAAACGTTACAGACAACTTCGATCTCTCAACCTGAGGGAGGAGGATCAGGCCGTCACCGTCACAACTGACTCATCAGCTCATAAGGTGAGCTACTTCACGATATTTATTTTGTATGTTTAGGTCCGTGTCTATGAATGACGATGACCGTCATTATTTATAGTGACAAATGTGTCCTAATACCATTATTAGTTAATTATTATTAGTTCACATCCTTCAGCATACAAAGATGTGAAGATATGAACATGAATAAAAAAAATATCTCAAACCCAGATTGTGGTGGACGTGCACTGACTTCCTAGGATGGAGAAGTGAAGGTGAAAGTGGTGGGCGAGAAGGAGGTGGTGGTGGAAGGACGTGTGGAGAGGAGAGAAGGAGGAGGCTCATCCTCACACTCCTTCAGACGCCGCTTTTCCTTGCCTCCTTTTACCGACATGTCAGCCATCACGTCTGTCATGTCTTCAGATGGCATCCTTACTATTACTGCTCCGAAACTGGTAAGTATATCAATCTCTACGAATTTCATACTCACGTATTAGAAAAAGAAACAGTCAAATAGCATTCGGAAACACATTACACGTACTAAACATTGCCTTTATTTCAACAGGAGGAAGAGTCTCACCAAAGGACAACTATCCTTCCTATCAAGCTCGAAGAAGTTGAGAGCTCGGTACTTTCCAGAACTACAGATGAGAATGAAACCAGTTCCGTTGAAAATACCCGTGAAGAATCCAACTGCTCACGAAAACATATCTGTGATACAATGAAGAAGAAGGAAAGTATAAACATTCCAAGTCATGCCAAAGAAGGTAACAGTCTTCAGACACGGTCTGTGGAAATTCAAATTTCAAAGGAAAGCATTAATGACGATGTTTGTGACGTTGGGAGACTAGAAGATACTGTTAAAGCGATTGAAAGGACAAAATCTAACACCACAGATGAATCAAACCTCATCTGTAAGGAACTAGGCTCGACAGGACTTGAAAGGTCTGGTAAAGGATTCTGGGATGAACTGCTACCAATCACTCGAAGAGGAAGCTTCTTCCAGGACTCATTCTTCTCCGACATGCACCAAAAGTTTGACGCCGCCATAAAGAAGGTCCTGAACAGGTGGAGCACCAATGACCTCGAGTGGACAGACACTGGGAACGACGTGGGTCTTCGCTACAAAGATATCCTGCAGCGATACAGAGAGCTTCGATCCCGTCACCTGGAACAAAACCTTGCCGTCACCGTCACATCAGACAAAACAGGCCACAAGGTCAGTTGTTCAATATCCCTTCTTAGTGGTGTTGATAAAGATATTTGGACATGTTGGAAAACATATATATTTTTTGTGAGTAAGAAATGTGATGAATATTTTCCTACCACAGATCGTAATGGATGTGCACGAGTTTACGGACGGAAAGGTGAAGGTGAGAGTGGTCGGCGAGAGAGAGTTGGTGGTGGAAGGAAGCGCAGAGAAAAAGGCGGAAGGAAACTGGTCCATTTCCTCACACTCGTTCAGACGCCGTTTCTCTCTGCCTCGCCAAACTGACATGGCAGCCATCACTTCTGTCATGTCTTCAGATGGCATACTAACAATCACTGCACCCAAAGTGGTAAGTAAGCATTCTTTCACAATCTATTCCCATTAATTTAAATTAAGTAGATGGTGTAGCCATACGACAATTCCACCAGTATCATCACCTAGAGATTTCTTGTTCTCTATTTTTTTCTTCCAGGACAGTAAACTGGAATGTCTGGAAGAAACCAAAGAAATATCTGGAAACAGAAGACTTAGCAAGGAAGAAGAATCACGCGAAGCCAAAAGGCCTCTGTGCATCAAGAAGTCTGAAAGTTCCGCCGCCGAAAATGTGTGTTTCCCTCTGACCAAAATGGGACTCTTCTTCCACGACTCCTTCTTCAAGGACTCTACGGAGGAATTCAGGAAAGCTGTTAGGGAAATCTTGACAAGATGGGGAGAAGCGTCTCCGGAAGTCGATGATCTGACCCGCTACAGAATCCTTCGATCTCGAGATTCGCGAGAAGAGACACAGGCCGTCACGTCTTTGGAAGATGACCGTCACCATAAGGTACAAATGTGTCACTGATATTTCAGTATCTATGTAATTACCCATTTCAATATCTTGATATTTATTAACGATTTATTTCTGCCTTTTTTAATGAAATAAACCACGATATTGATTGGCTTTCCCATATATTTCCAGTTTGTCATTGACGTTCATGATTTTGTTGACGGCGGAGAGGTCAGCGTGAAGGCTGTGAACGATCGAGAGTTGGTGGTTGAAGGTCAGTTGAAGGAGAAGGGAGACGGTTCCAGGTCCAGCAAGCGGTTCCTTCGACGCTTCGTTGTTCCTGGAGACATTGAGCTTGAGGCTGTCACTTCCGTCACGTCTTCCGATGGTGTGCTGACAATTTCGGCTCCGAAGAAGGTGAATCTTCTCAAGAACTTCCTCTGATATTTCACGCAATAATTCGTCTACAAGATGAAGCTTAAAGCTATTTATCTTAAGCTTGATATATGCAATTTCACTATCAGCCATAGTCCACTGTTATGTGGATTCTTTTTATAATAACAAGTTGTATTTCCTCTTCCAACAGAAGCCCCTGTTGAAGCTCACCAACGAAACGCAGAAAAGAGACACAAAGGAAGCAAAAAACACAAATCAAAAGGCAAATGAGTTTTCCTCCAATGAAACTTCCCTCTGTTCATCAGAGGTAAGTGTGCTAATAACAGTAACGTTCTACCTACCCCATGATACACATGACATAAATGAGGATATTATATGTATAAAACAATGAACAACTATTACCTCATTTTATACATTGCTCCACAGAAATGCCAAAGAAAAGAATCCATTGTTCCAATCCAGTTGGAAAATAAGGAGGAAGTGGCAGTTCCTGTTGTTTACGAAGGAAACACAGCAGATGCACTCGTGTCTGCCGACAAAGTTGAACAGAAACACTCATCTGCAGACCTAATGAGCCCAACTTCAGACGATGACGATGATGAAGGATACACATTCATCGTGAGACAGCCTGGAAATTCCTATCGAGTTACCTTTGGTGATGATGAAGAATCCCATGCGTGGAAGAGGGATTCCTCAGTGCGTGATCCCGAGAGCAAGTATGCTCTTAAGAGTTCAGGATTTGATTGCGTTAACAGGAACTTGCCCATCGTCAGGAAGGGTCTGTTTGCTGACGATTGCTGTTTCGAGAATGTTCGTCACAAGTACAGTCAGGCTGTGAGAGAAGTTTTGGAAAAGGCTAATGAATGGTCTTGTCGAAGTGACGCCATGGACAACTACAGGAAACTTCGTCAGCAGAAAGTCAGTTTAGAAAATCAAGCAGTTGGAGTCTCAGATGATTCAGAATCGCATAAGGTAATTCATAGTTTTGTTAGGTCTATAGTTTTTATATGATAAGATTGTGTGAATACATAGTAGGCCAACGAATATCTCAAATTGTGATGGACGTCAATTACTCAATTGATTATATCTTAACATTAAGTGCATCAAGTAGTTGAATAACACCTGTTTCTCATCTCCAGATTGTGATGGACGTGTTTGACTTCATTAGCGGCGACGTGACAGTGCGCTTGGTGGAAGGAAAGGAACTGCTGGTCGAGGGTCAAGCAGAGAAGCAGGACGGAAGCAGAGTGTCCCGAGTGAGCTTCGTGCGTCGCTTTGCGTTGCCTGAGCTCGTTGACCGAGACGCCATCAGCTGCGTGTTGTCCTCGGACGGAATCCTGACAGTCATCTCCAGGAAGAAGGGAAAGGCGCATGGTGAGCGCGACCACAGGAGGAGTCCTCAGTAGGATGAAATCCTACCCTGGCACGGGGCAGAGGCAGAGGAGAAGGACTGAAGAAGGGGACTTTGAGGAATCTGGATTCCCAAGAATCAGAACTGATTGCTCTGCTAAGCATAACCTGTACAATAACTACTTCCAGTCTACTGGTTTCGTGAGAGCTGCAATTTCTATAGACTATGATCTATCTTACAAATATATTTTTGCTATTAAGATATTATGTGAAACGTATGTGAAAATGAAGCATGTGCGTGCATCCGTTGTAAATGTACTTTTTCTATTACTAGAAATGTATCGTTTTTCTAAATAAACAGACTACTGAATGTGGCTTTTTTGCACAAACTGCAACCTTGACAAAAATGTGTCCGTAATTTTTGCGAGTCTTTCTCACTCACTTTGAATCTTCTTTGATAAAAGATTAATTGAATTGAACTATTTGCTCATATGAGTTAATTAATAAAGTATACATGGCTGTCGATACACATAAACGTATAAACATGCACATACATATATAGATGCACATATATACGACATTCAGACATATCTGTTTCTATATATCTATCTATCTACAGCACAGCACATGTGCGTTTGTGTGTGTATTATGTGTGCAAAGTATGTATGTGTGTATCAGTGACAAAACGTCTTGAGTCATACCAGCTGCCTCCTCAGATGATAATACTGGAGAAAAAGAAGTGCCTATATTAATATTTGACATGAAAGCATGACACCAAAGAAGACAAAAGGGCCATGATCGAAATCAGGCCACGTAGTAGCCAGGATCAAGTATTTGAAGGAAATCCTGACCGACTGACAATAGAGATCGACCAAACCTGACTGATGTAAGAAAGTTAAACCAGGTATTCTCGTTCTATCTTTCTCACTTTCTCTATCTCTCTCTTTCAGAAAGAAAAAACAAAGAAAAAAAATGACATGCATTCTGTTTGTTGTTTATTTTTAAAATTCCTACATTTTTTTTCGTTCCCATGCTTTCAGTGATATCAATATTTTCCTCCTGAAATAATAGATCATTTGATGAATTCAGCTTCTTTTCCAAATCACTGTATTGTATGTAAGTCACTTCGACTGTGAATAGAATCAGATAAAAAAGTACCATTTATAAAGATAAATTGAGTTACTAATTGCGTAAATATGAATAATGCGGATAATGATGTGAATAGATAAAGGAACAATATGTATAATAATGATAATAGTAATAATAATGATATTTAGAATGACCAAAATGATAATCCTATTAACGGTAAAAATAATGAAAATCCTAATAAGAACAATAATGATATGAATAATAAGACCAATAACACGGATGATAGTAATAATAAAATATTTAAGATGATAGCAATATTGATATGACTACTAATACCTATTACTGAATCTAAAGATAACGATTATGATAATAATAATGATAATATCTAAGATGATCATAAATATGATATCATTAATGATGAAAATAGTAAAACTAATTAAA